GACATTAGAATTGTGAGTTTTCACTTTGATTAGGTGAATTTTATATATAGCTTTACCAATTTGGTTATAGTACCTCAACCACACCCCCAAATCCACCTCTCAAATAGGAGGGTAAAAATAGATCTATCCAAAAAAAAGTAAGGATAAATTGTCTCTTTAAATCATTGGTTAAGACAAATCACCTATTATTTAATATGTGACACAATCACATATCAACTTTCTTCTAAAAATAAGTTTAGTGGCAAATAGATCCTTAATGTGTGATGACGTCATATATTAAATAATTAGTGATTTGTTTTAATCAATAATTTGGAAGAGCAATTTATCCCTATATTTTTCTTAGGGGTGAATCTGTCCTTGCCATCCTATTTAGGAAGCAAATTTAAGGGTTCAACCATAGTACTTTACAAGAATTCAAATTAAGTATCAAAGATATTTTTGGAATAAATAAGTTTTAAAAACTTGATTTTATTCTTTGATTATATGAATTTTATATATTTTAGTTTACTATTTTATGCTTAATTTTATTGATACTTGATCATGTTGAATTCTTCAATGTGATTTTATTAAAAATTACATAATTTTTATTATTTGGCAAAAAAAAGACGAAGTGCATGAAATTAAAAATTTTGAGATTTAAGTTCATCTCTTTCAAAAATTTGAGAACCAAATTGTAATAACAAGAAGTAATTAAACTTTGGGATTAAATTGAATAATTTGAAATTTGAGGATCAAAGTACACAAGAATTGAACTTAAGAGGTCGATTATGCCATTTCACCATTAAAATTTGAAAGATTTAACAGGTGAATTGATCGAGTTGTACCATCTGTCAATCGAGGGATGAATTTATTTTCTTCAGTATTTATCTTCAGTTTAATTTGGTAAAATGTATAAATTGTCTTATAAAATTATCACATTGAAATAGATTAGTATTTAAAAAAATATTGATATAATTTGTCATTTAAAATTTTTATTTTTAAAAAATTAATTTAAATTTAATAATTATCATTAAATTCTATTAAACTATTATTCTTAAAATCTAAAAAAAGAACGACAATAACTATTAAATTTAACTTAATTTTTTAAATGTAAAAATTTTAAATAATAAATAATATCAATATTTGTTAAGTGACGATATATTTTAATTTAATAATTTTTTAAAAAATTTACACCTTTTACCGTTTAATTTTCAAATAATTATATCAAATAAAAATATAATAAGTAATAGATTTCTTATTTTCTAAATGGTAAAATAAAAATTTTAAGATAACGAAGCGGTGTATCAAAGATTTACCTTTTATTTTATAATATTTTTTATAATTTAATATAATTTAAATTATAAAAACAACTTTCGAAACGAATATATTGGACTCGAGATAGTCATATTTTCTCAGGTGTTTATCTCAAAAACCGGTACCACACAAGGCACAAGAGCACTGTTTAGTTTTTAATGGAGATCCGCCACATTGGTGCAATATGTTAAAATTATTTTTTAATTTTACAAAATAACAAAATTATTTTTAATTTTAATTTTTAATATTAAAATAATCTTTTTGTTAACAAAAAGATTATATATCTTGTTATCTTATCACAAAATAAATTATTTTTTGAAATACCAATGATATATAAAATTCAATAATTATATTTTGTCATTATGATATATTTTTATTTACATATTATATTGATATATAATTAAAATTTAAAAATTAAATTAATATTTATAATCAAAATTTAAGAATTAAATTGATACTTGTTTTTAAAATTTAAAGGCTAAATTGATATTCATCGTGAAATTTTAAAAATTATTTTGATACTAAAAATTAACATTTAAAGAAAATTTTAATATTTTTTAAAATTAAAAAATAATTTCAATATAAATATAAAAATTAAAAAATCAAATTAATATTTTAATCCCGTAAGAACTACGACGCGGCTCCAATTCTCCACCACTCTCTCTCCTCTTCCCATTGCTTCTCCTCTTCATTTTCCAGTTTATATACGCTACTTCTCACGCACATCTCTTCTCATTTTCACCATTGATTCTAGAAGAATGTCAAGGACTTCCAATCTGATGGTCAAAAAGGGAGATTAATTTCAATGCATACACAGCTTACCTAGCGGTAGGTTAGTGGGAACTTGGAAGGAGGTCGTTTCGCACTTTATTTGTGGAGACTTAATTATTATTATTATTATTTTTTTTTTTGGTGTAAGATTCAATTATTTGACGTGCTTAATTTTTTTTCATTTACAATGTAGATTTATTTTTGGCAATTTTTATATTTTTTTGAATTAATATAATTAAAAAATAAAAAACGAAGTTATCAAGATTTAAATTTTAAATTTTTAGATATTACCACTCCTCTCAAAAAAGTTATATATAGCTATTAGGCCATAGTAGTGGTTGGCTTTTTATATTGGTTCAGTATGTTTAAAAAAAAATTAATTGCCTTAAGTGCCAGATTTATGATTTTAATTTAAGTGCCAGCTTTATAATTTTAATTTTAAATTTGATTTATAATATGATATTTATTTCTCAATAGATTAACTATTAGTAATATGGTATATTAATGAAGTTATATATACTTTGAATCACATATCTAAAATTCAATCTCTAATCACTACATGTTAAAAAAATTGGTGGATTAAATTTTTGATATTATTATTTGATGTTAATGAAAAAAATAATTTTTTATCTTAAAATTAAATTTAAAATATTAATAATAATACATTAAAATTTTATAATAAATAAAGACAACCTTTCTAAATTTTTTTAATTAAAAATATAATTTTTCTTCTTTACTAAAGTTTATCACCTTTAAAAAAATTAAGATTAAGTGGATGTGCACGCTAAAAGGACTACCGGATTTTGTTTGTGAGACATTCTTTTCTTGGTTGCGTGCTTGAAAATAATTTTACCAAAAAAAACCCGTGCTTGAAAATAATTTTACCAAAAAAAACCCGTGCTTGAAAATAATTTTACCAAAAAAAACCCGTGCTTGAAAATAAACCATGCAGAGGATGACTTAGACAAAAATTTGGAAAAAGGAAAAGTCGAGCTCACAAATTGTTTAAATTTATTTTTCAAATCTCCTTTCAAACAGTAAAGGGTCAATGAGCAAACAAGTTTTGAAATTATATGCATAATTCTGGAACTTTTGAAATCTCTTAAAAAATAACACCGTTGAATGAAAAATTTATATAGAAAGGAAATCAGTTTTCTTTTGAAATTATTTACCAACGGATTTAAGGAATCAAATGAATAGGCAATGTCATGTTTTTTTAAGTTGTTTGACTAATATGAAAGATAGATAAATTCGACTTTGGAATTCCTTCTATATTTCAAAAGCTTTGACTGAAAACATCTGAGAGAAATTCATTTCATAATTTCAAGATAAATGGAAGTACATTTATAACTTTTGTAAAATTTTTACAAAAAGCAGACAATTCTGTATTACAAAAGCTTTGACTGAAATTTGAAATTACATGTTTTGTATTTACATTTGATTTATCATCATTAAAATTCAGGATAACAAGATATTTTAAAATGAGATTAATGTTTATAAACATAATTTTTTTTTTAACTCATGAGAAAAAAACACTTTAAAACTATGTAGTTTTATTAAAGAATTGTGAGAAAAAAATCAAGACACTCTCATTTAAAAAAAAAAAAGTTTTTTTTAATCATTTTGATAAGAATTTAATCAAACTACATACTTTTATGGTATTTTCCTCTTAATTTTTTTAAAATATGGCTAACAAATAATTTTTAAAAAAATTTATTCTAAGAATTTTTTTATAATATATCAAAATTACTACATATATTTAAATTTTTTAACATGTGCCTTTGGAGTAAATGTTAAAAATGTAATTATTGTATTTTTTTACATTAATTAGTATTAAAAAATACAAAAACTATTATTAATTTCATCACTAATGTCACATACATTATTTTGATTAGATATTTATTTAAATAAAAATCAATTTTTATTTTTTTAATTTTAATTAATATAAAAAATATAATAATTATACTCTTAACATATTTTTTTAGGGTGGTGCTATAGGGATAATCTTTTTATTTCACTTTTTGATACAACTTCTAACATGTCATTAAATGAGTTTCACATAAATTAAAAAAACCAATTATTTAAATAACATGTTAAATTATACTAAAAGATGATATAAAAACGTTCTCCTATAATCATTTCCCTATTCGTTTAAGGTAAAAATTTAAAAACCTTTTATAGCCCTAATAATAGATTTAGGATTTTGTTGGTGACCTCTTCATTGACAAAAATTTGAGCTTCCAATCTAAAATCTCAAGATTTCCTTTCCTTGCCTTTTTCTTGCTTTTATTAAGCATCATTCTCTCTGTACAAATTAAATATTCTTTTTATGGCTTAATATAATAAATAATTTATTAATTATTGATCTCTTTGGTTTTAGTCTAATTTTTTTTAAATCATTTATTAACTTTTAAATTTATTTCAATTTTATCGAATCTAATAAAACTGTATTAATTGAATTGTTTGGCGCTATGTAAGTCGGCATATGACCTAAAAATGAGTGGAAAATTTCTTGTTGGTTCTTTAGAGCTACATCAAAATATAAAAAATTACATTATATAGTAGAAATCTTTGAAACAAATTACTTTCTATGATAGAAATTTTTAAAACAAATTTTCCTCTCTTTTCAAGTCACATGACTTATGCAACAATTTATGCAGTATCATATAATAAAAGATACGAAATTTTGCTACTAAAATTAACTAACTTGCGTTGAATTAGATTAAATTAAAATAATTTTAAAAGTTAGTGGTTAATTTAAAACAAAATATAAATTCTAAATTAATATAAAAAATAATTAATAATTAATAAATAATTTATTAAATTGAGCGTGTTATTATAGGCATTTAATATTCTTTGGTTTCTCTTTTCACTCAATTTGACCGGACGACCTTTTCCTTTTCCCTCTATATAATTCTTTCCATCCTCTCCTCACCCTCCTCATCCCACGTTTCCACTCTCTCTACCTCTCTCTCTGTTACCCTCCATAGTCTATCCTCCTTTATTCCTTCCTTTTTCTCGGCGACATTTCTTTCTGTCTAATCTACAAATGGCAGAAACGCCGACGAAACGTCTGAGAGAAGAAACAACTCAAATCCCAGAGGATTTTGAAGAGGCAAAACGCCATAAATCCTATAATTACATACTTTCCTTGCTTGAATCCGAAGAAGACGAACCCAACCAAGATTTATCTTCTCTAATCACAAGCCTACAGCAAGAGCTTTCTTCGGATTCCACCCCTGGCCTTGTTCAGGGTACGACAACCACCGATTCCAACCATGGGACGGCTGCTATCACCGTTGAAGATTACACATCAGTAACTTCTTCGTCCAATTCGTTGAAAGAAGAGGACGATGTTATAAGGCATTTGCTGGAAGCATCTGATGATGAGCTGGGGATTCCGAACAGGGAGGTCGGGGCTGAGGCGGTGGAGTGCGGTGGAGAAGTTTTGAGCGGCGGCGGAGATGGGTTGCTGCCGGCGTGGGGTGATGTGTTGTGGGAGCTTGAAGATGAGACTGCTAATTACTACACCTGGGTGCAGTCTGAACTTTTCATGTAGTGATGGGTTTAAAATAAGCAAACATCAAATGGGGAAAAATTGGAAATTTAAAATGAAAAATGTAGGAAGAAGAAAGAAGAAGGAGAAAATTGAAAATGAAGGCTATTTTTTTGGGTTATTCATTTTGCACCCTCTCTGGCTGTCTCTACTTACGAAAAAACTGAAAATATTAAACCCCTCTTTCTTTTTTCTAGGAAAAAAAATTAAATTGTAGAACAAATTTCTTTTATTTTATTTTCAAAAAAATATTATGCAGTTTACAGTCCTAAATTACACAATTTTCGACTATTGGATAGAAACAAGTCTCCAATATTAGAACTTTTCTCCAGGTATATATTTTACAATTTAATGTAATTTATATTATAAAATAAAAAAGTTTTTTATATTTTATTTATTTCTCAAATTATTATATTTTATATTAAACTTTTATTATAGCACTAATCTGGCATTATATACGTAGAATTAAGTTGTTATACAGTTTAAATTATATGATTTAAATTATTAAATATAATTGATTGTTGTGTGATTCAATTTAAATTATAAAATCTAGAACTATTCCATGTTTAGTTTTCACATATAATATTAAATTTATTTTTCTAAACTAATTTAATAGAACGAAAGTGTTTAGTGTTGTTTCAACTAACTGGACTACGTCGAAGTCTACAAAATAACTGTTAAATGGGAGTACGTCTCTTAATTTTAAGGGATGTCTTTTATTTAAAGGTTCATTTTTTACAATTTAATATATTTTAAATGGTAATACTATAATTATAATGTTATATAAAATTATAAATGTACAATTATAACATAATATTAAATAAATATAATATGATATTAAATGAATACATACATATAATATTATAAATAAATTTTTAAATAAAAAATTAATTATATAATAATATATTATATCATAAATTAAAAATATTATATAACAATGTAATTAAAATATTTTTATATTTTAAATTGTAAAATAAAAATTTTAATGAAAAGTCATTCACCATGATGCTCAAGAATTCATAAGAAGATACCTTCTAATTTTAGTTAAATATTCAATAATCGGCAATTAAAGGGGGAAAATTAAAAGTGAAATGCAAGATAGCATTATTATTATTATTATTATTATTATTATTATTATTATTATTATTATTATTATTATTATTATGTTGGTAGTACAACGAGAAATAATCATTTCTCATATTTTATTCATCGAATTTCAATCGACTCGAATTTAGAATCTTTTACTTTCGATAAAAAAAGATTATTATTAAATTATTTAAATTATTAACGATAATTATATTATTTTTAAGTAATGAACTCCTAACATTTACTAAAAATTGTTTAAGAGCCTTCTCTAAATTTAGCAGATGTAAGACCTTCTTTAAGTCCTTTTACTTTTCATTGGTCTTTTCATATTTTTAGCCTTCACTTTTCTTTTGTTTTTGGACATAGGGGAATTTTTGCAGGGGTGAGTAAAATTTCTCCTTTTGCCTTCATTTTAATTGTTTCAAACAATCAAATTTACACAAGAAGAGAGAAAGAACTTTCCTTTAGTCGCTGAAGCTCCGTTTGATGTGATTAAAGTTCAGAATTTTTAGTTTTAATTTTTAAAAATTTAAAAATCTGAAAATTTTTAAAAATTAATTAAATTTAAAGTTTTGAATATTTATTTTAAATTTTTATATTTAATAAATTAATATTTTTATTTTTATTTTTTAATTATTAATTTTAATTATTTAAAATTTAAAAATTAAAACCAAAAATTCAAAACCTCGTGTGCCTAAGCTCCATCTTGTCTTGTTGCAACTAGATATTGACAGTCATGCCATCGACACTATCCCGAGTGAGACCGGCACCCACCAAATTTCGATGGGTTATATTAATTCATATTTTTAGGGCAAAAGTTAATGGTATATTTATTATTTTTTTAATTATTAATTTAAACAAAATTATGAAAATAAATTTTTTTTAACATTAATATCATATAAAATAATTTAATTAAATAATTGATAAATTTTAAATTAATTTTTATTTTTTTAATAAATTAAGAACAAAATTATGCAATAATTATACACCCTTGTGCAAGTTAGAAAATTTCAATTCAAGAAGCAGCAGCTTTTGCGAAGACAAAATTATACACATTCACGAGAGCCAAAAAGACAATTTCAACCCCATCTGGAATATCGCAAGAGCAATGTTAATAATTTTATTTTTATTTTTAATTTTTAATTTTTAATTTTAATTATTTAAAATTTAAAAATTAAAATTAAGAATTCAAAACTCTATTGGGTATAATTGTTTTTTTTAAATAATAATTATTTTTTAGGCAAATAACTATTTTTTAATTTAATTTTATAATTATTTATTCACTTTATTAATTATTTAATTACAAATTTTTAAAATTTTTAATTTTTAAAGATATTATAAATAAATATAAATATTATCTCTAAAATTTTAATTTAAGAAAAATATACAATTATTATTTTATGACAAATGAAATAATTTTTAAAAAATTTAGAAACCTATAATAAAATTATAAATTTTTATGAATTAATTAAATTTTAAATTTTGGGTATTTGTTTTAAAATTTTATACTAATAATTTTGTATTTTTAATTTTAATTATTTTGATTTTAAAAACCATAAATAAAAATTAGAAACTACAATCATATTGAATGTAGTTTTAGTTATTAGTGAACTTATTTCTAAGTAATTTCTATTAGGGAATTTTGCATATCAGGCATCACTTTTTTTTTAAAAAAGAAAAAATTTAGTCTTATTTTTAAAATATTATTTTTATTAAATGTTTTTAAATTTTTTAGTTAAATTTAATATTCAATTAATATAAATTATATATGTTTATTTTTATAATTAATTTAATATTTATAATTATTTTATCAAGAAATTTGTAACTTTTAACAGATATTTAATTATATTAAATTTTTTATTAATTAATAAACTTATTAAATATATTCAATTAATTTAAAAAATTGACATATAAATATAATACCAAATTTAATTTTTAAAAATAATTATTAAAGAGTAACCTTTTTGAAGTTGAGGCTTGATTACTTTACATTATTTTCAATAATATGATATAAATTAATTATTTAAAATATTAAAAAGTAAATTATATACTATATATATCAACTTATCTAATTACATGACTTATATTTTATCTTTCTTTTTAAATTTTAATTTCAAATTTTTGTGCTTTATACCACTACCCAAATTAAAATAGTACAACCTATATGATATATTTACTGCAAAAGTTTGACGGTACTATTAAAATGCTAATAATTTATTCACAACATTTGTTAGTATTAATTTCTCAATCATATATGTCCAACGAGTAAAATATTATTACTGTAGCTTTTTAAATATTTTATATTAAAAAAACTATGATACTCCCTCCATGCAACCCATTCAACTTTACTTTTTTTATTATATAATTTATTATCTAAAGCGTAAAAAAATATATAAGGTAAATAACATAAATGAATATTTATTATAAACAAAAATTAAAAATGAAATCATTTTTATTATTAAATTAACAAAAATATTATAATTATAATATTTTGTAATATTATAATTTTATAACATAATATGTTATTTTATAATTAATTATTATACTTTAAAAATCTATCTATAATATTATATATATTTATTTAATAATAATAAAATTATATCAATAACTAATTAATTTGAATAGAAAAAATTTGGTTTCTTTTAAAAAATATTTTGAATTTGAATATTTTAAATAGAGAGATTTGGTTTGATTTTAAATTAATTAAAATTTAATATAATTTTTAAATATTAAAAAATTAATTAAAATAATTAATAATAATAAAATTATAAATTTAGAAACATAGGTCCACATTATAATTATAATAATGTGGCTAAATTAAAAGGCGGTACCACTAACATGCGCTGGATAGATCGGTGTGCATAATAACTCCTTTCACCTGACGTTTCAAGCGAAAGGGCGTTACGTGCGAACTTAGCACGTGTAAACATGGTCCTTGTTGGGCCCTCTCCACTTTAATTGGGTGTTGTCGTCGTTCACTTTTTTTTTTCCATTAATTAAAAATGAAGTAAAAGACAAAAAGTCATTATTGGTCCGTGACATCGTGATGGTGACGGTGCGGTTGTCTCACTGTCTCGAATGTGAAGAGTTCCCTTACTTTTATTTTCAATCTTCAATCTCAAGACTTCCACGAGATTACAAATGACATCTTAGGTTGATTGATTTTATTTATTCAAGTTATACTAATTATAGAGTAAAAATTTATTTATATATAAATTTTATATATTAAATTTATATTTATATAAAATTTTAATTATTTATTTTTATATTTTTAATAGTTTAAATTTATTTATATTTATTAAAAGTAAATATATATTTTAAATATTTTTATAAATTTTAACTATTTAAAGTAAAAAAAATTAATAATCTAAATTATATGTAAGTATAATATATAAAATTTGTATGTAGACAAATCCATCATCTTAATTATATGTTTCATTATTAATTTGTATAAAAATATAAAAGTTAATTTTATTTTTAATACTAATTACATGTGAGCAATTTAAATTAAATGATTAATAATATTAAATTTTATTTTAATTTTTAATAATAATTAATGAAAAATGTATAAT